GCTGGACTATTTGTTTATTTATTATTTATTTATTTTTTATGAATATAATTTATTGTCAAATTGGCTTACATACAACACCCAGTGCTCATCCCAACAAGTACCCTCCTCAATGCCCATCACCCATTTTCCCTCTCCCCTACCCCACCATCCACCCTCAGTTTGTTCTCTGTATTTAAGAGTCTCTTGTGGTTTGCCTCCCTCCCTCTCTGTTTGTAACTGTTTTTTCCCCGTCCCCTCCCTCATGCCCTTCTGTTAAGTTTCTCAAGATCCACATATGAGGGAAAACAGTGATATCTGTTCTTCTCTGACTGACTTATTTCACTCAGCATAATACCCTCCAGTTCCATCCACGTTGCTGCAAATGACATGATTTCATTCTTTCTCATTGCCAAGTAGTATTCCATTGTATATATAAACCACATCTTCTTTATCCATTCATCAGTTGATGGACATTTAGGCTCTTTCCATAATTTAGCTATTGAGAGCGCTGCTATACACACTGGGGTACCCATGCCCCTAGGCACCATCACGTGCTGGACTTTGAATGGGAACTGGGATGGGTGGCTGCTGGTGGTGGTGGGGAGACAGAATTCAGTTGGACATGGTGATCACTGAGGATATGCGTAGTATCATAGGGGTGTGAGGCTCCTATGCATGGGAGGTGTTAATCATCATCTCCAGTGCCCAGTGTGGTGCCTGGCTTTTAGGCACTCTGTACGTGTTTGTTGGATGAATTAATGCTACATTTACGTGGGTCATTATTTGTAATTAAATGGTAGAGAAGTAGAGATAATGTGCCTTTTAGAGGAAGGAGAGCCTACTCCTTGCCCAGGGAATTGGGGAGGGCTTCCTGGGAAGGATGACATTTGAGTTGGTCACGTGGGGCAGGAGTTTGGGAGAAGGTAGAGGAGGAATGCCAAGACCTCAAAGAACTCCTTTTAAAATTGTTATCGTTAATAGCATGTTATTATATAAGATGACTTCAGTTCCATTTATAAATGGGCCTGTCTTCTCTGCTTCTTGTTCTTTTACCATTCTCTCTGTTTTCCTTTCCTTCTGACTCCCTTCTTAGTCCCTAGGTAAGAGAGGAAGGCAGGAGACTATTTCTGGTCTTCACTCTGTCCCTAACTTACACTGTGACCTCTCTGGGCATCCATTTCTTCCTTAAAACAGGGGTTTGCGCTAGGTAATTCCTAGAATGAACTCAGAATGATTGCTTATTTACCCAGCTATTGGCTCAAATGATGCTAACTGCTGTAGGGTGGCAAGAGTATGTAAAATGTGCTCTCTCATACTCTGATTATAATCTAGATGGACAAAGAAGACATCCTCATGGAACATTTGCACTGTCCAGTGGTGCAAGCAGTCTTTGAGCTTAGGAAATGGTGAATTAAAATGATATATTTGTATAGGACTTTTTCCTTAGGAATCCTGGTAGACCAGTTTCCTGACATCCAGTTTTTTTATGTTATATATCTGAATGCAGTTTAGTATTTCTAAAGTACATAAGATTGGGGCGCCTGGGTGGCGCAGTCGGTTAAGCGTCCGACTTCAGCCAGGTCACGATCTCGCGGTCCGGGAGTTCGAGCCCCGCGTCGGGCTCTGGGCTGATGGCTCAGAGCCTGGAGCCTGCTTCCGATTCTGTGTCTCCCTCTCTCTCTGCCCCTCCCCCGTTCATGCTCTGTCTCTGTCCCAAAAATAAAAATAAACGTTGAAAAAAAAAAAAAAAAAAAAAAAAAAAAAATAAAGTACATAAGATTAATAGGAAATCATAGTACATCACACAGTTTTATTTGCATGGTAGACTATCACATTGAACTCTGTGCAGTTTGTATCATTTTTCTAACACCATCTGTATTCAATATCTGTTGCTATGGAACCAATTACTCCCAAATTTAGCAACTTAACAGCAAACATTTATTATCTCAGTAGTTGCCAAAGGTCAGGAATCCGCAGTGGTTTAGCTAGGCGGTTCTGGCTTCGGTCTCTCATGAGGTTACAGTTAAGCTGTTGGCCAGGGCTGCGGTCATCTCAAGACTCAGCTGTGGTTCCAGGCTCAGTCATGTGGGTGTTGCAGGCCTTCATTCTTCACAGGCTGTTTGGGAGAGGCTCTGTTAGTGTCTCCAGGACATGGCAACCTTTTCCCCTGCTGTGTGTGATAAGAGAGGGGGCGGAGGGAGGAGGGAGAGATCTTGCTAGAGCATGCCACCCTTACCTACTCCCCGGCATTCTTTATAAACCAATCTCAGAAGTATCTGCATCGCTTCTGCTGTGTGCCATTGGTCCCGCAGACCAACCCTGGGACTCTGTGGGCAGGGATTATCCAAAGGCATGAAGACCAAGAGGTGGGATGGTCATCTCAGAGGCTACCTTCCAGATTTTCCCCTTGTTCTTATAGCTTTAGGGTCTGGAATTAGGATGGTTTCTCAGCGCTACTTTTGGAGAAATCTAGGAACTGAGGAATAATTCTGCGATACCATGTTTATTGTATTCTCCCTTCATTATGTATTTATTTTGAGAGACAGAGCAAGAGAGATCAGGGGAGGGGCAGAGAAGGGGAGAGAGAGAGAGAGAGAGAGAGAGAGAGAGAGAGAATATCCCAAGAATCGATGCTGGGCTCAAACTCACAAACCACGAGATTGACCAGGGCTGAAATTAAGAGTCAGACATTTAACCGACTGAGCCACCCAGGCTCCCCAGAATCATGGAGTTATTTTTGTTTTGAATTTGCTACTTTCAGTCAGTGTTTTATTTTAGCTTTTTATATGGAAATTTTCATACCTCAAAAAGGATAAAGAACCACATAATGAACTTTCATGTGCCCATCACCCAGTTTTAGTAATCACCAATTCATGGCCAATTTTTTTTATCTGTACCCCATTCTCCTCTACCTTGGCTATTTTTTTAAGTTTATTTTTGAGAGAGAGTTGCATGTGTGCGTGCAGGCAGAACAGGGGCAGAGAGAAAGGGAAAGAAACAATCCTAAGCAGGCTCCATGCTGTCAGCATAGAACCCAGTGTAGGGCTCGATCCCAAGAACCATGGGTTCAGGGTTTAAATTTCCCCTTATTTATCTTATTGTTTAAAAATATTTTTTTATAGTTTGTTTGATTAGGATCCCAACAAGGCCCATATATTGCAAATTCCAGGATCTTTTTGGTTTGACTCTTAGGATTTTGGATTTGAAGATTGACATTGGTCATTTCATCCATCCCAAGAAAACTTGTCAAGGGTCATGTGGCTGGTTCATTTAAGATTAGAGTTGAGACCTTCTGATTCTTAATCTCAGGTGCTTTTCATTTTAAACAAAATATTTTCAAGACATGCCTTTGGGAGAAAGTTTTTTTTATCCTTTGGTCCCTCTGCTTATGGTAAGCAATGACATGAATACAGATCCTTATCACTTGGATTTGGGTGGTCATACTTGAAGATTCAAGGTGTATTTATTCCAGCTATAAATCCCACTCAGGGCCATGTGGTAGCAGTAATCACTGCTCTCTTGTTTTTGGTCAGCCTCTTTGAAAGGTTATTATGAGGCACGTCTATAAAGTAAATCCCAGGTCTTTCCCAGTGTGGTGTTCTCCATTTGCTGAGCTCTTCACTTAGCCATTCTGGTCATCCTGCCTTTAATACACTCTGCGGAGTGGATATATTCTTTGGCTTATTTTTTAGTTTTAAACATTTTTTTAAGTTTATTTATTTTGAGAGAGAGCAGACACATGTACATGCAAGTGGGTGCGGAGCAGAGAGAGAGAATCCCAAGCGGGCTCTGAGTTGTGAGCGCAGAGACTGACATGGGGCTTGATCGCAGTCACTGTGTGAGATCATGACCTGAGCTGAAATCAAGAGTCAAGTGCTTAACTGACTGAGATGCCCAGACACCCCTTTTGCTTATTTTTATTCAACATTATAGCCTGGAAATCACTCTCTCCATTCAGTTCCTTTTTTCGGAAGTTTTTTTTTGTTTGTTTTTTTTTGTTTTTTTTTTTTAATACTGTATTACCATAAGCTTTAGGAGTCCATGGCATTGTCTTTTTTTGAACTTCTTTATGTTTTAGAGTGTGAGTGGGGTAGGGGATGGAGGGGTGGAGAGAGAGAGAGAGAGAGAGGGTGGGAGGGAAGGAGAGAGAGGGAGAATCTTAGCAGTGTCCACACTCAGCGTGGAGCCACATGCGGGGCTTGATCCCATGACACTGGGATCATGACCTGAGCCGAAATCAAGAGTTGGATGCTCGACCAACCCAGCCACCGGGTGCCCCCATGGCATTGTCTTAAATAGCAGATCACGGAGGAGGAACTCTTAGCCTGGCACTGGCGATCTTCACTGTATGCTTTTTGCCTTCTTCTGGCTCCCGGGACGAATTAACTTAGTTTGCCATTCTTAAAGCTGTGTTTCCTACTCTTAGTGGGCACAGTTGGGTTTGGGAGAGAGCCTTGGTTGGGACTCCGTGTCTGACACTTAAATCCAAAAGAATCCTGACAATCTTTGCCACGTGCTCAGAGTAAATGATTGTGGGTGCTTTTTCTTGTCCTCCGTAGGCCCGTCAGCTCATCTTGCAGTATGGCTTAACTCTCAGTGACCTGGACCGACACCCAGAGGTAAGAGAGTTGGGCTGCTTTGTCTTTCGGTCTCCTTTTTTAAGGCTGTCCCTTGTTCATGGACTCAATATCTTGTTGAGTCTTGGAGAAAGGTCAGTGAGTCATGCTAGATTTTCTCCTGGGAATTTGAATGTTAAATCTGGCTGAGGTCACTAGAGAAGAGGTCATTAGTTTCCAGTACATTCCCTGTGGTTAACCCTGAGGGCTCAGTATGAGTGTGGTGAGGGGGGACTGGACAAACCCTGGGTGGATCCAGGGCTTCCTGTGGTCCTGGTACAGAAGTGTAAGAGCCCGTGGAGCTTACCACTAAGTGGAGATAAGAAGTAATCTTCTGAGGCAGCCACGGACATTTGAAAACAGATTACAGTTAGGTGTTATGTTACAGCAAAGGTGGTTAAACACAGAGGAGACTGAGTTGATGAGAGTGAGCAGCATACTCACAGTTAGCATTTACTGAGCCCTGCCTGTGCGCCAGGTATGGTGCTAAGCCCTATGCCCATATTAAACTACTTAACCTCCAGTAGTCTTGAGGGTGCATACCATCATTATCCCATTTTACGGATGTGAAAAAGACACAGAGGACAAGCCATTTGCCAGAGCCACACCTTTTGTAACTGGTAGAGAGCTTGAATGTGAATTTGGATGCTTCTGGCTCTGGAGCAGTGCTCCTTAGAAGGGTTTTGTGGGGAGAGGTAAAGTTTGAGCAGAGCTTGAAGGCGAGGTGGCCAGGGCAGGAGACGGCATTCCAGAGAGGAGTAGATGGGAGCCACGGGAGCAACTCCAGGCCGGCCCGTGGCATACGTGGACGGTGCCCAGGCTGGCTGGGGTGGCAGGGACTGAGTGAGTAGAATACGTTGGCGCACAGTGGAAGCGGTTGGATCGGGAGAGTGGGGAGGGGTTATGGCAGCTCGCAAACCAAACTGCAGAGTGGGACTCGATGGTCTACTAACCTGTGTCGTCCTGGTACCTGTGGGCCTCCGAGGGCTTAGTAGGAACCATGGGAAGGGCTTGTTGGGGGATTTCTGTGGGCAGAGCGGGGCACCGTGTGAATTCGCGTTCCACACTGTGAGGAGAGCGGTGTGGGCCGAAGGCGGGCCTGCGGCTCCTGCAAAGAAGGCTGTGGCCTTCCAGGCCCCAGAGAGTCGCCCTGGTGTGGCCTGGCCCTCGATCCGCGCGGGGCAGGGAGAAGCGGTGCAGGCTGTCTCTTCAGACCAAGGGCAGGATCTGTGAACGGGTGGAAGCACGGTGCCGCTGAAGCTCTGTAAGCTCGCCGCCTGTGCCAGGCCAAGCAACTTGAACTGATTTGTACCCTGAGGGTTTTTTGTACTGGTCTTTTAAATAACCATGCTTAACACTCCCACCTTGTTCCTGCGGAGGTCAGTAGTGAAGAGAAGTACATAGCTTCCTTGATTTTACATTTCAAAAGATAAATGAACCCATTTTGCCCCTGACTGCTCTTGGTTGGTGGTGGAATTTCCTAATGGTGGCAGTGGACAAGCCCTGACAGGTGCTTTGGGGGGGATCACAGTGGGGGTGCCTCAGGTAGTGTCCAGTTGCGGATCATGTGCAATGTGTGTCAGCTTTATAACTATACATTGGGTTTTCTGTGTCTGTTTGAAACTGTCTTTCTTTTTGCCAGACTAGTATGGAGGCTTCTGAGTCAGCGTTTCTCAGCCTTTTTTCTGCTGCCCCCCTCCAGTGAAGTTTTAAGTTTCTTTGAAGATGTTTTATTTATTTTTGAGAGAGAGACAGAGTGCGAGCCAGGGGAGGGGAAGAGAGAGGGAAACACAATCCGAAGCAGGCTCCAGGCTATGAGCTGTCAGCACAGAGCCCAACATGGGGGCTCGAACCCATGAACCCCAGGATCATGACCTGAGCCAAAGTTGGATGCTTAACCGACTGAGCCCCCCAGCCCCCCCCATGAAATTTTAATGCCACAGATGTACTGTGTATCTTTTTTTCTACTTGGGGGTGATGTCACCCATGTTGGGGTTGTGTGCTCTCAAATAATTCTAGCTCATCCACAGAGAAGCCCATCAATAAGAAAAGGCAGTGAAATGTCATGGGTAAAAGCGGAACCCAGTGTGGTTTCCAGGCCTCCTGTTTGTTTCCTGGTGACCCTAGTGGACTAGCTTAACCTCTTAGAGCCTCAGTTTCTTGACTGGTTAAATGGGAACAACTAAAAGTAGCTAATAGGGCTGCTAAAGATCGGATGAGCTATTCCATGTCCAAGCTTTGCACAGAGCCTTACCTCCCAAGACTTTTAGTAGTTTCTTTGTCTTTCCTTCCTTCCCCCAATGCAGATCGACCTCGCAATTGATGGTGCTGACGAGGTAGATGCTGATCTCAATCTCATCAAGGGCGGTGGGTAAGTGTTGTGGGGACTTTCTTGCTGAAGAGTATCTGCCAGTTCATCCTTAGCAAAGCAAAGCAAATTGGAGGACAGAATAAACAAATTGCCACCGTAATGTATGCCAGCTTCTCTTCGTACTAGGAAGTCGATGGCCTTTGGCTGTAGAGCCGGCTTGGCATTTCTAGTCGTGAGAAGCAGTCTGGTGACTAGGAACCTGGGCCTCTTTGGTGAGGTTATTCATCTTAATGGATTCTCTGTATCTACATTCTTCTGCTGATTCAGATTTTAAAAACTGTACAAATTAAGCCAAATATATTGTTGGGGCTAGATTATTAGGTCTGTGGGCAGGGGAGTGTGTGATCTTTGTTTTAAAGCTTCTCTTAAGCTCTGTGAGTGCTTGGTTATATATTTATTCATTCATTTGGAAAGCATTTCTTGGGTGGTTTTTTGTTTTGTATTGTTTGTTTTTTAAGATTATTTTGAGAGAGTGCGTGAGCGAGCACTAGTGGGGGAGGGTCAGAGAGGAGGACAGAGGACCTGAAGTGGGCTCTGTGGTGACAGCAGAGAGCCCAACATGGGTCTTGAACCCACCAATCTTGAGATCATGACCTTAGCCAAAGTCAGACACTCAACTGACTGAGCCACCAAGGCACCCCTGGGTGTTTCTTCAGTGTTGATTTGGAGGGAAGGAAATGGTGAGTTGAAGAAGGTGAAGGCCTGTTCTGCCAGTTCTCATAATCAAGCAGACTGTGGGGTGACACAGAATATGTTTAATATTTCACCGTGCTCTCTCTGCTTCATCACTCCCAAATGGCAGATAGTGGACAAGACAGGTTGTTCAAAGCTTGTCCTTCTCAAGTTATAGACCCTTCCACTCATGCCATGCTCAGATTCAGATGACTTTTCCCTGAGCACAGATGCATCTTAGATGGGATTGTGCCTGGCCTGAGTGGGAACCATTTCTCCCAGACACAGACAGGCTTGTGTTTTCATAGTGCATTTCTTAGCTCCGGCTGCCTTAACAAAATGCCATAGACTGGGTGGCTTCAACAACAGACATCTTTCGACAGTTCTGGAGACTCTGGCATGTTGTTGGCTGCCTTGTCATAGTGCCCTCACAGGGTGGAGACAGAACAAGTGAGCTCTCTGGTGTCTCTTACAAGGACACTAATCCTGTCAGACCCAGGGCCCCACCTTTATGACCACATTTAACCATAATTACTTCCTTAGAGGCCCCACCTTCCAAGTACACATCGGGATTTAGGGCTTCAATATATGAAATTTGAGGGGGACACAGTTCAGTTCGTTGCACAGCATGATGGAGTTGGGGATCTTCCTTTAAGAATCGAAAATTAAGTTTCTCATTAAGTGGATTTGGGTTTGTTGTATCTGACATTAGTTTTCAAATTGAGTTTGTGTCCTACCTTGTGTTCATTTGCCTCTTCCCATCCCCAGAGGCTGCCTGACCCAGGAGAAAATTGTGGCTGGCTATGCCAGTCGCTTCATCGTGATTGCCGACTTCAGGTACATCATTCAGTGTTCTGAGCTGTCCACTGAGGAGGTAGATCAGACCCCAGGCCTCATCCCCATTTTATGGAGGAGCAAATAGAGAACTGGAAGGACCGTGTGACTTTCTGAGACTTGATGGCTAGGACTTAGGGCCGTGTCTTGGATTTTGTTTTGTTTTCATGCTGAAGGTAGATACTGCTGTGTTACGCGTGCGTTGAAGGAGGGGGAAACGGCTTAACCGCTTGTCACTCTTGTGACAGGAGCACGTCCTCATGTACTGCTCATTTGATCCTTGCAGGGAGCCTCAGAGGAAGGACAGGCCCTGCCCACGGGCAGTGACTCAGCACGCCCTGCTTCCTCTGGGCTCACACGTGACTTGTGTTGTGCATCGCCTTTGACCAGGCTCTCAGATTCTCCTTCAAGGAATCTGATAGAAGGCGCTTATGCTGAGCATGTTAATTAACAAGAAAATTGTATGTACTTATATTATAGCTGTAGAAAGAATATAAGTAATACCTGTGTAATAATCACAAGCCAGTCATAACCGCTTTTAACATTTTTGTCATATTTACTTCAAATACCTCATTTCTTAAATAGTAAAATATAGCTAGTATATTTGAAGCCCTGTGTTCTTGTCTCTGCTGACCTCTCTTGTCCTCTCATTGTGTCTGAATTCGGTTTTTATCTGTGTCATTGAGCTTATTTATATTTATTGTACTTCTTGACTTTCTTTTCAGAAAAGATTCAAAGAACCTTGGGGATCAGTGGCACAAGGGAATCCCCATTGAGGTCATCCCAATGGCCTATGTCCCAGTGAGCCGAGCTGTGACCCAGAAGTTTGGGGGCATGATTGAACTTCGGATGGCTGTCAACAAGGCAGTAAGTGGCCAGGGAGGTTTCTCAAGGGCATTCCAGGCTCTCATTGTGGGGTCCTTTTTGCTTCTGTTAGGACCTCTGTGCCTAGGCTGGGTAGTCAGCTTTTATTTATCTATTTTTAATCAGGTTATTGGTTTATTTTTAGAGTACTGGCTTTACCAGTTTCTATATTCAAACTTGTGTAGAGAAGACTACATTTAATGCAGTGCATATCCCCTGTACAAGTCGGGGAGTGATTCTTTCTGTCTGTCCTTTGGGGTCTGACGATCCTCAGGTGATCTGACCTTTGTACCTGCGGCCTGGACCATCGTGATTAACAGTGGCTAAAGATGGGCTTTGGGAAGCCCTCCACACCGGGCAGCAAGTATTTTAGGTTTCATAGTGTCATTTTCTTTTTCTCCTCTTACTTTGTTCTGTTATTAAATGTGACAAGAAGTTGAGTTTCTTGGGGGATATGAACTCCTCTCTAGGAATATGCTTCAGAAACTTAGTCCAAAATGTTTCTCTTCAGCTTTTAGAGTGGGCTACATAGAACTTTTTTTTTCTCTTACACTTAAATAACCGAACAAGCAAAAGTGATAGCCCAAAAAATGAACTGTGATTATTGACATAAGTGTATAACAAGTTTGAAAGATACAGAAAACAAATTCTCTGACTCTTCTGTGATGAATTTTTATATTGGTGTGGTTTTTTTTCCTGGTGTTTTTGTGATGTTTTAAAAATCAGTCCCCCCCCCCCCAAAAAAAAAAAAATCAGTCCCTAATCCTAGTGGTTGTACAGAGCTCTGAGCGTGGTTCCCTTTGTAGCTGAAGAGCCTGGAGGAGACTGTTGGAGGTCCTCTGTCATGGCTGCCGTCACTCCAGACAAGAGCCCCAGCCTCCTGCCTTCGTGGGGGCTCTTCACGGAACTCCCACCCCTCTTCCTCCTGTCGACAGGGAGGCTTAGTTTCCTTGCCTGTGACTGTAGGGTTCTGTCAACATTTGTGGTCCCAAATGCCTTCTAGTTCCCAAAGCTGTGGAGGAATTTTAGATTAAGTAACTAGAACGACCCCCTGTTCTGAATAATAGTAATTCACGGTAGCCGCACTTTCTGTTTTCATGGAGGTAAGTTTTATCTAATTATAAGGGAAAAGGAATTTATGGAATTAAGTAATTATAGTAAACATAAAGAGGAAGAGAAGGACAAAGACGGGTTAATACATCAAATCGGGTACTCACAACTTGCAGCCTTCTGGCTGGGGAAGCGCAGTGAACAGCCCAGTTGGAGTCCCGATTGAGGGTCCTGGGCAGAGCGTCCTCCTCTCGGGTGAGGCTTCCAACTAACTATTGCCACCAGGGCAGTAGAAATACCATCCATGTGTGATCTACACATTAAGTTTGTCTAAGTGCAGTCCTGAGCAAGCTGGGTTTTTTTTCTCTTGTCATATCTCACAATCTTAGGAGCCTGGGCATTTGTTTGTTCCTCTTCCCTCCCAGATCCACCAGGGGACCAGCCAGGTCTGGCTTCAGGAGGCATGGGAGGCTTATAAATCCCTCTTGGCATCAGGAACAGAAGGGCCAATTCTGATCCAGAGGCCAGATACAGAACACAAGCCAGCTAAGCCCCCCACGATTACGTATGTGCGGCTCTGGACAGAAATGCATGACGAGTCACACAAACAAGTTCTATGCAGAACATCCCCTGGGTTTTTTTGACCCCAGAACCCATTTCTGCTTCCTGTTTTGGTGGGAGCGCCTGCTTGGGGAAGCCATGGGTACGATAGCACTGCCTTATTTTGCATTACCCGGCGCTTAATGTGAAGCGGTGAGAATGTTGCATCCTGTTGATAGTCTGTTGCTGTAGTTTTTCATTCTAACAATAGTTGAGAATTATTGAACCCTTACTGTGAGCCCTCATTGCGGTAAATGCTTACCCATATGGTTTATACATAAGCTGCCTTATAAAGTATGTATCATTATCCCCTTTTTGTAGTTGAGGAATCTGAGGCTCACAGAAGTTGATGGCTCTTCTGAGCCTCCTCTATGCCTCTGCAGCTCTGATTCCAGAGCTCCTGCTCATTACTTCTTCATGGCACTGCCTTCTAGAAAGCATGAGATGGGGGTACTGGTTGGAGCGGGTTCATTAAGATACTTGTATTTGGGCATCACCTTCACTTACCTGCCCACCTATATCTATATCCTTGGTAAATATGGAAAATTACCTTCTAGGGTCCCGTCGTGACGGATAATGGAAATTTTATCCTGGATTGGAAGTTTGATCGGGTGCATAAGTGGAGTGAAGTGAACACAGCTATCAAAATGATCCCAGGTAACATGAGTGGTGTTTATCGAGCATAGACACCCAAGCACTTCGTGACTGTCCCCCACCTCTGGCTATAGGAGGCACGAATGGTGTGGGGTTTTGTAAGACTTGGTTGAAAAGAATTTCCTTTGTACCATGCTTGGAGTTTCTGACTTCACACCTCTGCTGCCCCCAGGAACAGTTCTTGCTTACCTAGCAGCTTTGTTGGTTGTGCATTTCACAACCCATTCCAACTGGGATAGGCCTGGAGCTGATGGAGTGTCAGAGGGGGGTTGAAATAACCACACCCCCTCTGGATAGAGCCTTCCCTTCCAGAAGCTTAACTGTAGCCTCTCTGATTTGTTGTGGGCTCTCTTCTTAAGCAGTGGGGAAAAATGACACCATTCACCCATACTCATTAATTACATACCACAGGCCAGGTGCTGTGCTGCATGTTACAGGGAATGCTCCCACTTCTAGAATATGACTCTTTCTCAAGGAAAGTTCATGTATACCTGGTTTGGAAAGCGGTGTGTGGCTGTGTAGAAGCCATGCCTACGAATAAGATAGAATGTGCTACATTTGCTGGAGAAATACCAGGAGTCTAGAGTGCACATGGGTTGATTCCTTTGGAGAATGTGGGAAAGTCCCATGGGAGAGAGGTGGCTTTTGACCTCTGCCTTAGCGTAATCTAGACACTGCATGAAGTGTTTACAAACCGTCCAGTTGGCTGAGATAGTTAGAGAGGAGGACAGGGATCAGGGAAGGTTCAACGACTTGCCTAAGGGCTGCAGTGCCAAGAGGGGAGCCCTGAGTTGTTTTCCTCTAGACCCTGAAGCTTTAGTCCTTACTTCCTCAAGTGCCAGGTTGAGGAGGGGCATCTGTGACATGAACACTGGGGTGGGAGAGCCTCTACTGCTTGTAGCAGGGATCTGGGGCCCCGGGTAAGTAAGGCTGGGTGGGCAGTGTAGAAGGTAGTCCTGTCCCCAGGCCAGAGGAGTATTGAAGGCCCCGGCGAGGGGATCAGATGGAGGAAGCAGATGTGAGAAATACCAATCATACGGTATTGAGAGACTAAGATTCTGACTGGGAATATTTCATGGCATAGCATAGTTTTGGGCCAGAACTGGCTAATGGGGCAGGTAAGGTCAGTTTAGCAGATTGTAGGAGCAGGCTGCCTGGATCAAGTTCCTAACCCAGCCTCACTCTGGCAGTGTGACCTTTGTGCAGTTAGTTAACGTCTCTGTGACTCATTTCTTCCTCTGTAAAAGAAGCTAATATTAGTGCCTACTTCATAGGATTGTTGGATTAAATGAGTTAAAATGGTGCCTAGCACATAAGGGAGGGAGTGTTTGTTGAATGAATAAATCCCCAGGAAGGAAGGATAGTATTGTCACCATTAATTAAACATCCTAGATTTTAAGTTATCCATGCTATTTGGGAATGAAAATGGTGTGAATAAAAGCCATGTAATAAGGAGCTAAGTATTCTTACTGGAGTCTGTGGTTTTAGACTGACTATCTTTAAGCAGATTTATTAAGCACAAAAGATGAATTATGCTTATTCTCACTTAGTGTTCTCATTTAATGGAAGAAGTAATGAGCCAAGAGAGCAAGAGGAAAAGACGATGTAGAGGTCACTAGTCGCTGTTAGTAAAATGGGAGCGTTTGCCCCTGATGATAATGCAGATAGACCCGGGGGCGGTGTAGGAAGCTGCTCACTAGTGTGGGCACTGTGCCCCTGCAGGTGGATTTCTTGCAGTGCCCACTACGTAGCTCTGTTGCTCCTACTCAGACCTTTCTTGGCTTACTGAGACCTGGAGCTGTCGTTCGTGAGGAAGTTTCTCCGATATTTGCCCTCTGCCTCATTAAGTAGAAGCTACAGCCTGGAGAAGTTCAGAATCTTAGTAGAAACTTAAACCAAAGAAAATGAGGAAAGAGAGGCTAGATGTTAAATTATTCAGTACGATGCCACCAGAAGCATCGATGTGGCTTGTTGCCTCCTCCCATTCTCTCCCCTTTTCCTCATCTGGTCTGTTACTGCTGGACTAAAAGCCAGGGAAGGGAAGAGGACAGGGTTCCCTGTCTGCCCCTACCGCCCTGCCCTTGCCCGTGTGTGTGTGTGTGTGTGTGTGAGAGAGGACACTCAGAGGACAGCTGGACTGGTGCTTGGCTGCTTACTCGCTCTGTTGGCTGTTCCACTGGGTTCCACCCAGAGCACAGAGCTCTATAGAAGGGCCAAAGCTCACGGGTTCTTGCCCCTGTGCTCACAGTGAGCCACCTCTGCCCTCTCTGCCACTGGGGCATGGTCAGTAACCCGAGCAAAGGTGCTCTGAGATCAGACCAACTCCTGTCCTTCCTCTCTACTCTTTCTTCGAAGCCTTTTCTGAACCTGGTTTGACTTTCTCTTGGCTTAGGAGGAAGCTGTCACCTCGTATTGCAGAATTGTTGGGTCTTATGTGGCCACTTTGCTTCCTTTGGGAGGCTTTAGTTGGGTTGGTGCAGGGCCGTGCCAGCGACCTCTAGGTTTCGGCAGCTTTTTCTTCTGCTTGATGGCTTTTCATCACCGATAGATGATTTTGTTTCTTTATGTATTGGGGGACTTCTTGCGAAGTTTTAATTTTAAAATTCGTTTTATTTTACATTGTTCAACGTTACAAGAGTAAACAGTGAAAAGTCCCTTCCTTCTTTCCCTCCATGTTTTCCTGTCAGATGGTGCCAAATTGCCCTCCATGGATTGCACCAATTTACCCTTCTAACAATTTTCCCTACACACTCGTTCATCAAACTTTATTTTCCTGATAGTTGAACAGTTTTATTCATTGTGGCATGTATGTATATATGTAAATATTTTTGGTAAATGTTGCATACATTTAATTCGCATCACGGAATAGTATTCCATCGTATTTCTGTTTGTGAAAAAAAGTGTCTGGAGATTCTATTCTTGATGAGCATTCGTGTGTTTCTGGTTTTAGGCTATTAGAAAAAGTGCTGCTGTGAACATTCTTATACGTGTCTTTTGATGACTATGTGTGTGCCTAACAATTGCATATATACCTAGGAGTAGAATTGCTAGATTGTTAGGTATGAATACATTCAGCTTTAGAAGATGCACTAACAGGTGTTTTCCAAAATGATTTTGCCAATTTCCTCCCACTGTCAGTGAGTGGAAGTGTCTTTGCATTCTAGTCAAATTTCATTATGTTCATTCTGGTGAATATTTGCATTCTCTTTTCACTAATTAGTTTGAGCATCATTTTTTATGTCCACTGGCCATTTTATATAGCTTCTTTTGTAACGTACCTCGTTACAAAAGACCTCGTTAAGTCTTTTGCCCGTTTTTCTACTAGGTTGTCTGTCTTATTGATTGGGAGAACTGTCTACGTATTTTGATGCGGATCTTTTGTTGGATATATGCATTGCAAATGTCTTCTTGAACTCTGGGGGAGACTTCTAAGGCCGATAGTGTGATCGCAAATAACTGGGAGTGTAAATAGCCAAAGCAGTGTTGAGAAAGAACAAGGCTGAAGATATTCCAGATTTTAAGCTATATACTACAAAGCTGTAGTAATCAAAACGGTATGATACTGCCACAAAAATAGACACATCAATCAATGGAACAGAATAGAAAGTCTAGAAATAAACCCACGCGTCTATGGTCAATTAACCTACGACTAAGGAGGCAAGAATATACAATGGGAGAAACCGTGTCTTCAGTAAATGGTGTTGGGAAAACTGTGCGGCTACATGCAAAAGAATGAAACTGGATCACTTTCTTATACCGTACACAAAAATAAACTCAAAGTGGGTTAAGGACGCCTGAAGCCATGAAACTCCTAAAAGAAAACATAGGCAGTAGTCTCTTGGACATTGGCTTTAGCAACATTTTTTTCTGGATCTTTCTCCCCAGGCAAGGGAAAGAGAAGCAAAAATAAACTATTGGGACTACATCAAAATGAAAAGCTTTTGCACAGTGAAAGAAACCATCAGCAAAATGAAAAGGCAGCTTACTTGATGGGAGAACATATTTGCAAATGATGTATCCAGTAAGGAGTTAATATCCAAAATATATAAAGAACTCTTACAACTCAACACAAAAAACTAGCACTCTGATTAAAACGGGGCAGAAGATCTGACTAGACATTTTCCCAAAGAAGACACACAGATGGCTAACAATCACCATGAAAAGATGCTCAGCATCACTCATCATCACGGAAATGCAGATCAAAACCACAAAGAGGTATCGCTTTACTCCTGTCAGAATGGCTAGAATCAAAAAGATAAGAAATAACAGATGTTAAAAAAACACAAATGTTGGCGAGGATGTGGAGAAAAGGGAACCCTCAAGCTCTACTGGTAGGAATGTGAATTGGTGCAGCCGTTATGGAAAACAATATGGAGGTTCCTCAAGTTAAAAATAGAAGCATCACATGATCCAGTAATTCCACTACTGGGTATTTATCCAAAGGAAATGAAAACACTAATTTGAAAAGATATATGCACCCATGTTTATTGCAGCATTATTTACAGTAGCCAAGATAGGGAGCAACCTAAGTGTCCATTGAGAGATGAATGCATAAAGATTTGGTGTATATGTGCAATAGAATGTTACTCAGCCATAAAAAAGAAAGCGATCTTGCCATTTGCAACAATGTGGATGAGCCTAGAGGTATTCTACGAAGTGAAATAGTCATAGAAAGACAAATACCATATTTCACTTACATGGAGGATCTATAAAACAAATGAACAAACAGAAAACAAACAAGCAGAAACAGACCAATGGTTGCCAGAGACGAGGCATAGGGGAATAGGCAAAATAGCTGAAGGGGATTAAGAGGTCTAAACAGTTATGACATAAAGAAGGCACAGGGATGAAAAATACAGGGTAGAAAATATAGTGAATGATATTATAATAACTTTATATGGTGACAGATGGAAACTACACTTAACCGTGGTGAGCGTTGTGTAATGTACAGAATTGTTGAGTCACTATATTGTGTACCTGAAACTAACCTAGCATTGTATGTCAACTATACTGCAATTAAAAAAAATAACAAGTGGGAGTGGAGGTTACTTAGTCAATGGAGGGGCTCTCTGAAGAGAAGACTTGTCATCTGATGCCTGAAGGACAAGAGAAGCACCATTCCTTTGAAGTGCTCAAAGACGACTAGTTCAGCAAACAGAATAGCATGAGCAGAGGCCCTGAGGTAGGTAAAAAGTTGGCACATTTGGGTGGACAAAGATGGCAGGGGAGAAAGGGATTGTAAGAATAAATAAAAATGATCAGAATCTCTTTTCATTGTCCTGGGAAGGAAAGACTTCAGACCTGTCATTTGTCCAGTGCTGCTAATGGTGGTTGCCCTTACCGACCCTACTATCCTTGACCCTTCATGCCTTGGGGAGCTGAAACTTAATGCTTATTTTTATCCTTCATCCTGCAGGCGTGGTGGACACAGGCCTTTTCATTAACATGGCTGAGAGAGTCTACTTCGGGATGCAGGACGGCTCCGTGAACATGAGGGAGAAGCCTTTCTGTTGACCGTGCAGGAGCGAACTGTGTTCACCTTGAGCCCCCGGCCCACAGCTGAGGTGGACATGCCTCTCCAGGAGCCTTTGCCTTAATGTCTCTGTGCCAGATAGACAGCTGGCAGGGTGGGGGTTGGGGGGTTAAATCCAGTCTTCTGAAGTATTGTTATTTAATGTCTTTTTAAAAAGAGAAATATAAACCTATATATTTTTACTATTAAAAATACTGTTTTTTTTAATAAAGTAGAACTTGATTTCATGTTTTATATGAAACATTTACCAAAAAAAAAAAAAAAAAAAAAGGGAACTGTCTTTTAAACTTTTAACTTGAGCCTGCTGGTTAAGCATCTGAATATTGGGTTTGCTGAGAAACGTAAATCAAAACTTTCCTTTAAACTGGTGAAATGAAGGGCCCAGCCAGCAGTGATTCCCCTGATGCCTTACTGGAAACATTAGAGTTTACTTTTCTACCACGCTGTCTTGTCTTTAGTTTTTGTTGTGATCACGTACAATACTTAAGTACATATTTTAAGGTGAGGTTTACAGAAGTCTGGCGAGTGGAGCAGTGTGGTGTAGAGTGACTCAGAGTGTAAACCGTCAGGGAGAAAATGTGGTTCTTTTGCTAAGACCTGGGGGTTCCTTCAGACCCCTGTTGTGGGAAGCAATTGGCCAGAAATACTTGCCAGTCCTGCCAAAGCACTGCTGTGAAATGTGAAATACTTTTAAGTACTTGTCTTTTTGTTACTGTTTCTCTTCCTTTATTATTACTTGCATGGGGCGTCAGAAGCTGTCATCTCCTCGGACTGTTTGAGGGTTGAAATAAAACAGTGTGGTGCCACTTTGACTCTTTGTCTTTACTGTTTGCAGTCATTTTGAAGTAAAATCGGGATCAGTTTGGCTCCCCGGCGTACATTGGGTTTTTGATAAGGGGTGGAATTTACTCGAGAAATCTTGAGCCAAAAAGACCAGATTGATAGTTCCTGTATTTCTGAGAGAGCTCGATGTCAATTTTATTCCACAGACCTTTGTCAAACGCTATTTTCTTTGTTAATAGAAGATAACTGAGCTGAACAGAAGTCGCAGATTATCCCCAAGCGTTCTGTTAGTCAGACCATTAGTCATAGAAGCTGACAAGCATTAAGCAGGTTACCCGTATTCCCTCTTTATTCTCCTCACCGATATTCAGACTGTGTGTGCCCAGGGAGCAGTGAACTGCCAGAAAGCCTCACAGACAGGGAGAGGGAAGGCCACGATCCCCTCGGTGGTAATTCTGGATGGGACTGAGGAATGCAGCTTGCTAGGTGTTTGTGCCCACGGCCTTTGGCTCCCCGGGGCCGACCTCGCTGGAGACTCGGAGTAGGCCTCTCCCTCAGCCTGCCCTCCATCCTGAAGCTTGGATTGTAACTACCAAGCTTGCTGGCTGGCCTCTCAGTTCCTGCTAAACCAGGTAGCACAATGAAAGTTAACAGAACCAGCATTAAAGAGGCTCTTTTCCTTGCCGACTTCCTTCTCTTTTTCTTTGCTCTTAAGGTGCTGTTTATTTATTTATTTTTTAGATTTATTTATTTATTTTTTTAAGAGAGCGCAAGTTGGGGAGGGGGGCAGAGGGAGAGAGAGAGTCCCAAGCAGCCTCCACACTCAGCATGGAGCCCCGTGCGGGGCCTAATCCTACGACCCTGGGACCATGGCCTGAGCTGAAATCAAGAGTCAGGGGCTCAACCTACTGAGCCACCCAGGTGCCCCAGGATGCTCTTTAAAAATGGTTGCCTCATACTTGCTAAGGAAACCTATCGTTAGGAGTGCTTTAGTTTTCTTCAGGCCTGCTCTGGACTAGATGAATTTTGTAAAAAATGGTCATCAGATCTTAGCTGAGAAAACTTGATAGAACCAGTTTTTGAAATCCTTTAAAGCTCTTGTGGCATGGGTTAAATTCAGGGATAAAGATAAACAAAGTTAAACTGGGTGTCTGAAAGCCACCTGCATGCTCCACATCCCGTGGACATTTTCAGTGGGTTTCAGGGCCGTTCGCACCTGTGGCCAGACTGCAGCTCCAGCGAGTTACTGTGAGGTTCTCCTTCTCTTGAAAGAAACAAAACATCCGCCGTGCTTTAGACACACATACAGCACTTTGTTCTAGAGGTGAATTTTGATCGAAGGTTCTTCAATAAAATTGTAATAAGATGTGATCTTGCAGGTGATACATGGGGTGGAAAAAATTTTCAGGCACATGATGAATCCAAGGGACACAGGGCAAGCTGCAGGTTTGGCATTTGGGGAAGGTTATAACCGAGTTAAGCTGCCACACTTTGGGGAGGCATATGGGGGGCGGGAATCACTTGCATTTGAATAAAACCTATTCAATTTTGGTTTCAGCTAGAGCTCATAAAGTTTTGATTTACTTACCAACCTTTTTCTGAAGTTCCCATCATGTGCCAATTTCTAGTAAGACCCCTCTCACACCCTAGATGCTTCCGCCGTGGTGGATGAGCCTGGCAGGTTGACCGAGGAATGCCGAGATGGCACTGTGATATGAGGGAATTATCAGCATAGTGGGGAAGAGGTGGGCGAGTAGGTGGGAAAAACGGTTATCAGGTGACAGGCGACAGCCCCCTACCTGTCATCACTCCCCTTGTGCCAGGTGCTATTCTGGGCCTTTGCCCTGTTACCTTAGGACAACTTCATAATATTTATTCTCTTAATTTGCAGAGTGAGAAACTGAAGTTTCGTTTAACTTGTTCAGGTCATACACTGGAAGGCAGGCCAGACCTAACTGGCTCCAGGGCTTACTCCTAATTCAAGGTGGTTGTAGGACTGTGAATAGTTTGTATTCCTTAATTCTCGTGTCCATCATTTGCAACTTGAGCCACAAGTAATTTGTTAAAGGACCGAAGTTAATGAAGTGGTTTATTTATTTGTGTGTGTGTGTATGTGGGTGTGAGTGTAGGTTCATGAGTCATCCCATTATATTAATTTCTGTCTCTGGATGAGCTTTAATGGCAGAAAGGAATAGAACACTGCACCAACCTAGGGTGGGCCATGGAAAAGTGCACTTTGGAGAAGTCCTCCTCATCTGTCACCATTGACTTTTCTCCTCCGCCATGCTTGTTCCCTCTTTTCCTTTCCAGGTCTGGGGAATAGGTAGGTAGGCACAGTGGCAACCAGCAGCATGGCTTGCCTGGGAAAGGGTGTTTATGGCCAAGATTGTTAGTTCCCTTTAGCCGGACTCTTCAGAAACGCATGGTTGGACAGAGTTGGTTTTATTGACCCATTGAATTAGGGAAGTCAACATGCCAGGCAGGGCTGTGGGGTGTCTCAGTCAGAGGGTGTTGGGGCCTAGGGAATTTGGGCCTGGGTCTGGTGCTTTGTAGGAGGGCTCAGGGAAGCAGGGCTCTGCTCCGGATCGGATTGGATTGGATTGGATTGGATTGGATTGGATTGGATTGGATTGGATTGAAATGGATTGGAAGCAGGAAAATTCTGTGTTCGGTATTTTCATTTTTACCAAGAAGGTGAAAAGGATGAGGCTAAAAATCTGGGACTGATAAGGAAGCAGCAGTCGTTCAGCCAGAATATGGGGCCGTCTGGTCCTTTTTGTGATTTGGACAACGTTCAGTTTTGGTCTATGGTGAGATGTAGTTATGGAGTCGTCTGGTTTTTGTCTTCGTCCGTCACAGTCACAGAGTAGTCGTGTCTGATGGAGTGAAATTGTTGATGTTCCCCAGGAGAACACCACAGCCTTGCTGTGGGTGCCAGGCCAGCCCGTAGCAGCACCAAGGCCTGACGAGAAAGCTGGTGGTACAGGGCTACGTTTCTCTTTCTCAGGATATGCGGACCGCAGGATCCAGGAGGCCTGCGCATTCTCTGATCACCTCTTCTCTCTTTGATTAACAAGTATTGAGCACTTGCTGTGTACTGGACCCTGGGATGAAGGAGTCAGGCCACAGATACCCGTGACGTGGCTCCAGCTTCCAAAGATGTCATTGATGCCATGACAACCGTGCCTCCTAACTCTCTCAAAGGCCTAAGTCTGCTCACCGCCTGTCACACCTGGCAGCTGAGGCAGCCAGATTTAGGATTGCATCAGTCTCCACTCCCCACTAACCCGGTAATCAGATGATGTTTTTGTCATAGGTTCAGTGCCTCTGCTTTTTTGGTAACCGGGTTGTCTGGTAGGGCAGCAGCACACTCCAACAGAGCCTAGCATTCAAATGTGCCCATGTTGACTCTGCAAATAAACATCTGTAGTGGTGCTTTGAGAAGGGTGAAGGGTGTGTTCATGTGGGCGGTGGGATGGGGCTGGAATCCAGAGAGGGAGGGAAAGGCCTTCCCGGGGAAGGCAATTCCAGTGTTCCGTGGTCAATACATTATGCAGAATGATGCACGAGATAAATTCAGCATTGAAATTGATTCCTTTATGTCAGATCACTGAGAAGTATCTCTGCTCAGCAGCAAGGTGGGAGAAGAAACAGCTCCATCTCCAGGAACTAGAGCCCTGGCTGCCATCTCTGTAGGCCTTGGCCTCGTGTCAGTAAGACTCCAGAATGGCTCCCTGGTGACAGAAGTACATTTGAGAGCATTCCCAGGTTCGGGGGTGCCCTGGTCTGAGTTTCAAATAGAGCTGTGCTCATCTACATTTTATTTCAGAAGCCGTTCTCAGCGGCGGGTTGGACCAGTCTCCAGTCCCGCATGAGTTCGGAAGGTTCCAGAGCTCTGATCTGATTTTAGCCACGCTAAAAAGGTGCAAAGAAACAGGCGAGATGCACTTTGATAACATCTTTTATTTAATCCAACATATCTAAAATACTACCATTTCAAGGGCACCTGGGTGGCACAGTTGGTTGAGCGTCTGACTTTTGATTTTGGCTCCGGTCGTGATCTCACGATTCGTGAGTTCGAATTCTGTGTTGGGCTCTGCACTGAGTGTGGGGCCTGCTTAAGATTCTGTCTCCCTCCCTCCCTCTGCCCTCTTGTGGGAGCTCTTTCTCTCTCCCTCAAAATAAATAATAAACTTAAAAAGAAATTACTATTTTGACATGTAATCAATACTTGACATTTTGTACTCAGTCTTCAAAACATAGTATGTATTTTACTTCATATCTCAGTTTGGACTCGTCACTTTTCAAGTGTTCAGTAGCCACACTGGTGAATGGCTAAAGTATTGGTGAGCACAGTTTTAGAATTTAAGACAACTCCAGTGTTGTCCTTGTTCC